TCTATCTATCTATCTATCTATCTATCTATCTATCTATCTATCTATCTATCTATCTGGGAGCGTCTCTTGTTGCTACTGTGCTCTTGCTAGTCAAGGGGACGGGGGGAGGGGGTGTCCACTCAGCCTGTAACTGTACCACCGCGCGGCTATGTCAGAGCTGGGACCTCCGAGTCTAACGTCCGTCTCCGATAGGACCGGTCCAGATAAGTGGAGAGTCCTGGACATCTCTCCAAGAACCACAGCTCAAGAACGTCCCGTCATTGCTTTCTTCGTGGCTTTTTCTTTCCTCTCCCTTACTATCGTCATTTTCCCTCTGCTTCTTTTGTATGTTTGTCACTTTCTTGTGAACTGTTATTTCCGGGGTGCATCGACAGTCGAAGCAGGCTTTCTATGACTTTATTGTGTTGCGAGCGCAGTAAAACCTTACTAAAATTAAAGCGCCCTGTCAGGGAATCAAACCATTTTTCCGTACCAGACTCGAAATGACACCACCATCACTTCACTCTGTCTTGCGTTGCAGCAATGGTGTCTGTCGTTCTTGCTGTTCCCAGCCATGTTGTCAACTTGTCCTGTATCTTTTCCCTCTGTCTGCCTCTGCCTCTCTCTCCATCAAACTTGCCTGGTATTACAGTATTCTCCAATGCTTCTTTCTACATTGTGTGTCCAATGAGCTTTGCCTGTGGCGTTCGTATATTCGTCATAAATAAGCTGTCGTCTGCAATTGGCTTCAACCAAGACTTCTTCATTTGTTTTTCTAGCTGGCACCAACTAAGTTACAAAAAAGGACGTACAAATGAAGGAGAGATCCATTTATTGCATATTACCGCTGCAATGGGATTACGTGTCCTTTCCAAAATTAACAACTTCCAAATATTGTATGGGAAGAACCTTTTCTTTACAAAACTTAACAAAACAATGAAAATGACAATGACAATCTTTATTCATCTCGCAGGGAGAAATTTGTCTTGGTTGTTAACAATGGCAGTAGACGTTACAAAGGTTAGGTCCACAACAAGACAGGAGATTCGTAAATACATGTCTCACGAGCTGGGACAACCCGCTCCGTAAAACATTCTCTCTCTCTCTCTCTCTCTCTCTCTCTCTCTCTCTCTCTCTCTCTCTCTCTCTCTCTCTCTCTCTCTCTCTCTCTCTCTCTCTCATTTGTAGCACTGTGTCTATATCTGTGTGTTCTTGCCTTTTGGGAAATGTATTTCCGCCTTTTTTTAGAACGTTTGTCTTGTGCAGATATTCAAAGTTACTTAGGTCTCTACCAATTGTTCTGGATGTCTTTCTGATCAACTTGTTTATTTTCATGATGTGCTGCCTTCCCAAATTGCTACCATAGCAAGAGATACCAACATTTATCAAAGTTTCTATTGTGGTGGTTTAGAAAATCTGAAGGATGGATGGATTCAAATTGAAAGACCTAAGTTTCCTCAGAAAGTACAGCCTCTGATTTACCTTTTTAACGATATTGTTTACGTGATTTTGCCATCTAAATTTGTTGTCGATTGTAAGACCAAGATATTTGTATGAATCCGTGATTTCAGTTGATCTTTATCAGCATTTGGGAAAGCTGTACTATTGGGTTTTGATTGTTGAGAATGTTTTCTATGGAGGAGAAAAAAAGCAAACCGTACCGTTAATTTGTTTTATGACCAATGTTACATAACAAAGATCGCGAGAACCGGAAATCGTTGTCTAAAAAATCCAAAAACAAACACCCAAAAAAAAACAACAACAAACAAACAAACAAAAAACAACGAACAACACTCTTCCCTGCTTGTTTTTTTTTTTTGTTTTTTTTTTGGGGGGGGGTTGTTTATTTGTTTGTTTTTTTGTTGTTGTTGTTTTTTTAAGGTACTCTTTTTTAGGATTACTCACCATATGAGTCATTTTGGGTTTTTTTCTTAGTCATGCATTTATTTTTTTTATTTTTTTTTTTGGGGGGGGGGCATCAACGCCCAGTATTACTAGACCTTGTCGTGAGTGCTG